GGGGGGGAGGAAAGGAGCTCAATGATTGGAAGGCCCTGAAGCTGTGTGCACAGGAACTGAAATGTTAAGGTCTGAGAGTATTCAACAAATGAAGGCAGAATTATATAAAAGCAACAGTTAATAAAAGAGACTGTCGGATGCTGTGCTGTCATGCTCCCAAGTCCTTACAGGAATAAAATTATCCAGAGAAAAATGGAAAACTTTTTTCAAAACTGATACAATTAAGCCTTTGACCGCGCCTCCTTGATTCCCTTTCTCCAGCGCCCTCCATGCCCCAGCTCCCTCGCCAGTCTCCAGTTTCCGAGGTGCTGGGGGTTCTTTCCTTCTTTGTATTATCACCAGCAAAATGCTGTTGTTTTAAGAGTTATTAAGGTGATACTGTTTTTGCGCCTCCTTCTGGAGGCATTCAATAACTGTTCACAAAGACCTAGGAAAACCTCCTTAACAACATAAAAGCCTACATCTGCGTACATGAGGAGTTTGGACTTCACTTTATGAGTGGGGCGACCAGATGAGAAAGAAGGGCTCATCCAGGAGAATTTCCTTTCCTTCAGGAAAGCAGAGAACTGGTTTTAAGGAGAAGAACTATAATAGAGAAGGGAGAGGAGAGTGATGAGGGGAAAACAGATTTTAGGGGAGGAAAAAAGCTGTGAGGCTACTTGCCTTCCACCCCAAACAGACACATGCCAAACCCAGAGAGGAAAATGCAGGAGGAGCACAGCAGGAGACCGTAAAATTGCACACATAACAACAAAAAATCTGTGCTTATGAACATATGGGCAACTGTGATAATTAGAGCTATGGCTGGTGGAATTTTTTACCCTTTTCCAGGATCTCAAATCACAATCCTTGTCATTACGGCTATAGTCAAACCTAGGAGGAGTGTTCCGGGAAATATGTGCTTGTTAAGGCCCACCTCTGCAGGCAGCTCGAGGGGCCCGGCCAACCCTCGGCACCACAGGCTGTCACCATCAGCACTTTGAGTTCACATCACAATTCTGGTGGTCCCCTGAACACCTCAAAGAGGGTGGACAGGTGGGGGTGTCCACTAAGCAGGAAGGAAACACCCTCATGTCCCCACATTTCTGCCAGGCTCCAGGGTGGCATGCCACAGGAGAAAACCCCTATGAAAATCAAGCCCCTCAAGCAAACTGTCAATTTCAAAGCTCCAAACCGTGACAAACGATTCTCAAAGATTTGCCTGCAATAAGCTGATGGCTCGGGTTGCTTGGCATGCTGTCTCAGGCAGGAGCGAGAACAAATTTTTTTACCCTCCCAACCATCCCCTCCCACGTTTTAAGCCGTTTCTTTGAAAAATAATCTGTCACAATCAACAAATGAACACCCCCCACCCAAGTAAGCAAGTTAACAAATGAATTTTCAAGAATTGCTGTAGGCTTTTAAAAAAAGAAAGATGACATGTCTTTGAATCTCACTCATTTCAAAGGCTGAGCCTTAGAAAAGGAGCATAGCCGTGGTACACTTTGATCTCCCTGACTCCCAGGAGAAAATCAATAATACAACTTTAATATATTTGTATAGCAAGACTTCACGTTATTATTATTTTTACCCAATGCGGCTTAACTAAAGCAAGAAAGGTATACTGGGTCTCAGCACCGCCCTGTGGTGCAATGATTTTTTTCTAAAATAGAACTATAACAAGCGAGCTCATTCAACAAAAAGATCTCTGTGACTGCCGCTTGTTGGCAGTTTGGGGGTGCCGGCTCGCTGTGGCGCACAGGAGGGCATGTCCACAGGGTCACTGGCTATTGGGGCGAATGAGCATTGAGGCCTATGGGTTCCTCTCTCCCCAACAGGGCAGCTAGGACCTGGCCCCCAAAACGGCAGCCAAGTCCCAGCCTTACCTTCCTCTCAATGTGCTCCAGCTGCTCCTTATAGAAGGTGTGGCACCTCAGCTCCGCCTCTTGGCTCTCCAGGTCCCTGGCCTAGTTGGAAGAGAACAAAGCCCGTGTTAACCAGAAGCGGCTGGGCCGGGGCTGCCAGGAGAAACCCATGATGATTTCTGCTCACGGTGACATTAATAATGAGAAGAGTGCGAACGAGCTGAAACCTATGCCATGCTAGACTGCTTACCTGTCTTGTTTTTAATTTCCACCACAAAAGTTAAAGGTAGGTCATTGCTGGAACCCTTTTGCAGATGACCAGCACTAACATTTACTGAATGCTTACTAGTGCGTGTGCCATGTTCTGGAACAAGTGCCTCCCGCAGATTCTTTCATTTGATCCAATTTCTCTAAAAGGTGGGTAGGATTATTACAATCCCCTATTACAGATGAAAAAACAGAGGAGCTCAGTGACCCAACGCTCCGAGCTGCGAGGGTAGAGCTGAGGTTTAGACCTCTGCAGATGCAGGGCATGGCTGGGAGCTGTTCTCTGGCCATGGAGTCCTTACACCTGGTACCACACCATGCCACTGACTTACTCTCTGGTTGTAAGAGGCAGGGGTGCCGAAATGCCCTCCTTCTGATGAGGCAAACTCCCTGCCTTAGGGGTCAGGGATCTGAAAGGTGAGCATATCAGAACCCCAGAATCCTAGAGCTAGAGGGTACAGCTGCTCCCTCACCCACCTGATGGGGAACAAACAGAACTGTTGGTGCACACAGCTGAGGACCCTCCCTCATGGTCACCGTTAGGCTGAGGGGCTTGGTTAATCATCACAAACAATGTGGAGCCAGCTAACCTGGGGCTGAATCCACCTCACCCTTTAGCTGGGTGACCTCAATTTCCTAACTCCTCCAAGTTCCCACTAAGGTATAATATATAAACCTGGCATGGGACCCCACAGGACTCCGTAGAGGTTAAAGGAAACCCCACAGAAAGGGGCATGGTCACCGCAGGTCACAACAATGGGACACCAACATCATGGCAAAGCGGGGTCTGAGAACTCCAGAAGACAAGCCTGGTGTTTGTAGGAGGAATAATGCCATCCATCTGCTCGCCGTCTGCCCTCTGTTCAGGGTCAAGTGTGCTTGGACACCATTCTAGGCTCCTGTGTGACTTAATCCTCATGAACCCAGGAGCTAGTCAACAACTGAGGTGGACCATGAACCTAAGTCAGGGTGATTCTGAGTCCTGGGCTTCTTCCTTCCAACCACACTACGGTATAAGTGCATGGGTTTGAACTGCTCCAAGTACCAGGTAGGACAAGAGCTGATATCTTTGAAAGCTCATATCCTCGGCATTGCTATCCTCCCTGGCATGAAACCTTTCTGAATCCAGAGCAGGAGTGAAGGTGGGAGGAAGGGTGAGGGTTGGTAATGAGGAGCTGATCACACGACAGCATCTGCAGAAAGGCTTGGGTTTAGAGGACCACACGGCTCCCAGGAAAGCTCCAGGCCAGCAGGGTGTGGCAACAGGCTGACCACCTAAGAATTCAGTTCTAATGCCAGCTGGATCACCAAGTAGCCTGTAAACTTGAGCATGTTGCTAGCCTTTTCTTGTGTATTTTCTCCTTACCTGTAGAATATAGAAGAGTAGTGACTTGGCTCCAGAGACAGCTGTAGAATATCTAAAAATGCCAAGAAGGCTTGTGGAATGCCTGTGGAATGCCAACACTTCAAAAAGAAAAAAACTAAATACAAACAGTGAGACTGAATACTGGGGATTTCTCGCAGGATTTTTCAAAGCACGATGCTGAGGCGTGTTCCAGGAATGCGAGCATGGCTAATCCATGCTGGACCCTCCGCAGCCAGCACTCAACAGTGAACTATCCCTGGTGCAATCAGAGAATCTGATACAATAAAGCAGCCAGCACAGAAATTTCTCCCAGGGCCCTGGACCTGCCATTTTCTGGCCAACAGTCCCAGCCAAGCAGGAAGGTGACATCTGAAAGCAAAACTGTCTTGAGGCTCTTCCATAGCCATTTGCTAGGGGGCCAGTGGGGCGGCAGACAAGGAGGCACTTGCACACATCCCCCCACCATCTAACTGACACATCAGGATGCCTCTTTGGGGAAGCAACTCCAGGAATGTTCAGCCCGTGTTGCCAGCATGAACACTGATGTCAGGAATGGGAAGCAGAGTTAAGGCTCCAGGCAAAGCTCCCCAATCGCTGCAGCTTCCTCAGGCCACATAGGGACTGTTCACACAGGAGAAGGTATATTGAGGAGGGGGGGGCCTTCTATAATTACATCAATTTGCCACACAACTAAGCTGTTATCAAGTAAGTAAGTGATGAACTGTTTCGATAGCTATGAGTCTGTCTTGCCCACTGGAACAGAAGCTCGGTGGGAGGAAGGGCTTTCCCCGACTCCAGCACATCCCCAAAGCCTTGGCCTCCATCACAGTAAGCCGGCCAGGGGACTAGCACACTGCCTTCACTCCATCCCCTAATCGGCACTATCCACCCACTCTGTTCATCTGAGATTTATAAGGAAATCCAATGATTGACAATAGACAGGAGGTAACATGGATAAGGGCTGAAGAAAATGAACGAGATACAAACACTGGGATGCTAGTGCCTGGCCCAGAGTAGCACTCAGTGACTCGATTCCGATGAATGAAGGTGGGCATCAGACAACGCTAGTCACTCTGCATAGCTGCAGCAGTCCAGTATCTGCTTCCCAGCACCCCTGAGAGGCCATGCAGCAGGCATCGCTCAGCATGACCATGAAATTGGAGAGGCACAGGCAGGTTTCAGCGACTGATTCAGTAATCAACAGAACATTACTGAGTGTCCACCATGTGACAGACACTATGGTAAAGGGGCTGGGGATACAAAGAAAAAAAGAGAGACAAAGTTTCTGTTCCCATGGAGCTTAGATCCCAGTGGGACAGACAAATGTGCGAGTAGATAAATCAGATCATTTCAGAGAGGGATGTGTGCTGGGGAGGCCACAGACAGAATAACTCGTGGGGTAGCAGGTTGCTATTTTCTCTAAGGAGAGATTTCTAAAACAGTCTTCTGGGGGGAAAAATACTGAATAAAGTATGCTATCTCCAATACAAAGGGAAAATATCACCATTATGAAGATCTACTCAGCAGATTACCGTCTTTGACTGGGGAATTGACAGGAACCTTTAGTGGTTTAGTCAAGGATTTCCTCCAGTTAAGACAGCACGAGTCCACACTCTGATGTGTCTACGCTCCTCCAAACACAGAGCAAGGGCAGATCAGGAATAAGAGCACAAGGCCAGAAGGACATCGCGGAGCAGGAAGAGAAAGGAGGGGGAGGAGAGGAACTGGGAAGGAGGGCGGATGTTAGAGAAGAAGGCGAGTGGAAGGAAGGGCAGGGCAGGGCGGGGTAGGTGGAGATGCGGCGGGGGAAGGGAGCAAGAGGGGCACCTAGGAAGAAAGATGGGGAGTTTGGAGGAAAACGAGGGGAGGAGGAGAAGAGGATGTTCACGGAAAATACCAATTAAAATTACAGGAATAATTGTAAGTCAGTCAGTTATCACAATAAATGTGGACAGCTTCTAAGGTGGACCGCAGGCAGTGAACCCTCTCCTGCTTCTCAGGCCCTTGTGTGCTGCCCTCCCCTTGAGCACGGGCTGTGCCTTGTGAGTAACTTCTGATGTGTAGACTATGGCAAAAGTGATAAGATGTCACTTTCCAATTGCCAAAGACAGTGATTTTTGCCTTGCTCACTCTCCCTCACTTGCTCACACTGACGGAGATGCCCCCATGGTAAGGAACTGAGCCAGTGAGAAACTAAATCCTGCCACATGAGGGAAAATGGAAGCGGTACCTCCCCAAGCAGAGTCCCCCAGTGAGACCGTGAGTGCAGCACCATGAGTGCAGCCCGTGGGAGACACTGAGGCAGAGGAACCAGCCAAGCTGGGCCCACATCCTGGACCCACAGAAACCATGACATAATAAATGTTGACTTTTAAATCACTAAATTTTTTTATGTGTTATTTAGCAATAGGTAACTAATATGTAACGTGAATCAATTAATCTCACCCTTAAGATTGTCATTTTGAATAAAAGAAAAAGAAAATCCAACTATATTCCACTTACAAAAGACCCAACCCCCCATACTAAGGGCCTTACAAAAAAAGAAAACCTTTCACTGGACATAAATATAAATTGCAGACTCTACTGTTTTGTTTTGTTTACACAAAAGATTGAGCATTCAAACGAAACATTTTAAAACACGCACGCACACGAAAAGAAAAAGTAATGAACTACCCTCAGGAAAAAGTACTCAATAGAACCATACATAGCAATACAGATAATAGAATCAACATATAGAGATTTTAAAATAACTATGATTAATACGTTAAAGAATAGTAAAAAAGGGTAGACACCATGCGTGAAAAGATGGAGAATTTCCACAGGGATATGGACACAATTTGGCCTCCATTATTTATGATGAGAAATCAGCTGTTAATCTTATTGAGGGTCCCTTTTATGTGATGAATTACTTTTCTCTAGCTACTTTCAAGATTCCCTCTTTGACTTTGGACTTTTGACAGTATGACTACGATATATCTAGGTGTATATCTCTTTGAGATATCCTTGTGCACAGCCCTTTACCTACAAGTGGCCTTCTAGAGTCCCAGGAATATGTCAGAGCTTTTCAAAGCCTCCTACAGGCATCTCATTCTCGAGCTTTTCTTATTAAGATTTTGAGTTACCCTATTGTTTGCCTACACTGTTATCCTTCTCCTCAGGCAGCTGTGATGTTCAACAATTGCCTCTGATTATTTTGACAAATGCCTCCTGGGAAAAAGTGGTTTTCAGCGGACAATGTCTGAGTAACATCAAATAAAGGCAGCTTTGCAAGTGGGGTCTTCCAGAGAACCAGCAGAAAGAAAAAACACTGACAACTCTATAGGAATGGGGCTTTGAGTGACTCCAGTCCATTTCTGCCCTGTCCAGTGCCTGTCAGGCTGCTGGTTTCACCATGATTGCAGCTGTTTGTTTTCCAGGTTACTGCTTAGTTGAGGAGAAGAGGGTGGGAATACATTTAAAATGCCACGAA